TAGCATTAAATACCACCTAGAAAATAACAAACTACAGTGACTGTTAATTTGCCACCTTTAATCACATGAATCAGATTTACAGTTATATAACAAAATCTAAAATGAACCAGAAAATTGTATACCATAAATATGCCCTGGATATGGCAATTTTACTCTCATGAGAGAAAATTTTAAAAGGGCTTGGTGGGGATAGAGAGAGGGAAGAAGACACTAGAAGCAAGGCTGGAGGACAAAGGAGGATTACACAAAATTTGGGAAACTGTAAAGATAGGTCTGAAAGAGAGAAGGAAGCCATTAAAACAAGAACAGAACAAAATGGAACAATAATAACAAAACAAGAAACCATGTTCACATTCATATAAAAACAAGAGAAAGCAAAATAGAACAAAAACAAGAAAAGAAAGAAAAAAACAGGAAAAAAATGTCCCCTTCAAGGTGTTTCAAGGTGTGTCATTGGTAGATAAACATGGACAAAGTCCCGTATGTGAGTTGGTTAATCCAGCAAGCCAACTGTAGCAGTACAGTGGGTTAGCAGACAACACCAGCAAACCCGCACCTTCCTTTTCACTGAAGTTCAGGCTGGTTTCTGGCTGTGAGGCTGGAACCCAATTTGTTCAGCTTCTAGCACTCTGTACACCTTCTGTTAGCTTGAACTCAACTTCCTATCAACTTGAACTCCGCTTCCTGACCTCCTGCCAACTTGAACTCAGTGGCCTCACCCTGACTCAGTTGGCCCTCCTTCCAGACGGATACCTGCTGTCCCACTGGTGTGTATCCCCATGGAGGCCTCTGAGGTTGCCAGAAGTCACTGTGTGTCTGCAGGTCCGAGCTGGCCCTCACCTGCAGTAAGTCTGGGCTCAGGGAGAACGCTCTGTCTGCCACCTCCTTCTTTTTAAAGTCTCTGTCTTTACTCTCCCAGTGGGCTTCAATTTTTGCTTCAGATCCTTCCTGAGTTGCAGGGATCCATTTCTGTCTTTCTCTTCCTCACACTGCTATAATTCAGTGTCTGGACACCAAATCTCATAGAGGCTTTCTCTGCTGCTCACTACTTTATCTTCTTCCCAGAAGTCCTCCGTTACTTTCACTCTTGTTGCTTTAACTTCCACAACAGCAATAAGTAAACAATGACTGTCATCTCATACCTGAAACATTTCCTGGAGACTGTTACACTAATTTCAAACTGAGTGACACTGTGAGCAATAACCCTTACTTTGACTATAAACTTCCACTTGTGCAATCAAAGCTAAACTCTTAAAAGGGTACTAAGTAGAACAACAGTAATAATTCTTAGGACAAAGCATTGCTGTGCTTATAGCCCAGGAGCGGTCTGTCACAGAGGGTAGTGATTATACGTCAATAATGTTTCCCTTTCAAACTCAGGAAGAAATCTTAGTAGGGAAAGTCTTCTTTTTTGATACTTTCTGCCATGCTGACAAGCTTTTCTCCCTCATTCACTTCTTGTAATAATCTATAATAGTGAGACAAACTCCAATAGATGATTATTAGAAGAAAAAATTGCATAGAAGCTCATACAAATCAGAAGTAATAAATACCCCAATAGGATGCCAACAGGTAAAAATGGCAACCATAAAATTCTCAAGCGTAGAGATGTATGCAAACTCACTATAATTAAGCATATTTTGTTTTGTTCTGTTTTGTTTTGTTTTTTTCTGGTACCAAGGATCGAACTCACGACCTTGCACTTGCCTGGCAGGTGTTGTGCCGCTGAGCTAAATCCCCAGCCCAATTAAGCATATTTTTTAAAGGATCTGTCATTTGTTCCTTATAAAACTGGCAAATAGTCTTCATTCTTGGCAGGTATTTGGTGAAATTGCACTGCTCAATTTTTGAAATAAAAATTTGGAAATGTATATCACAGGAATGCAAAAGATTTATAACTTTTGATTAGTAATACTACTTCTCGACATCTGGCATGAGGAAAATGTTCTATGCACGAAGATGCTCACATAGTTTTATTTATAATAATGAAAACTGAAGATAACCTGTGATTTCACTTACATGTGGAATCTAGGAAAGTTGAACATACAAAGTAGAAAGTAGAATGATGGATTTCTAGGAGATATGGGTGCAGAAAGATGGAGAGTTAATCAATGAAATTTCAGATAGGACCAAAAGCTTTCAGATCTATTGCACAGAAAGTAACTATAGTCAATAGTAAAGTTTGATATATTTCAAAATAACTAAGAGTAAATTTCAGATATTTCACCAATAAAAACAATACAAATCAACTAGGTGATACACAAGTTAATTAATCATTCGACATGGTACACCTATCAAATCATTGGATTGTACCCTCATGATTGTATACAAGTATGACTTATTAATCAAAACTAATAACTTCTAAAATACATTGACAAAGAAGTTACCAGTAAGCATCCTTGAAGAAATGTCAATTTTTAAAAACTACTTAAAGAATTAAATAAATTATGCCACATAGAAGTCATAGAATACTAAGTATCATATTTACAGAAAAGGATCTGATTCATTATATATAATCTGAACTTTTAAAAGAGGTTCGAGAAAACATTTTGGGAAACATTTTTAAAGCCATAAAAATGTAAATATATCTATTTAATCATAAATAGGGATATGGATATATAGTAGGATCAATGGTGGGGAAGCATGTATCCACATCTATGTTCAGTGAAAGGCAGCAAGTAGAAAGTGGGTATGGAAAAGGGGTAAGAGTGCTAAACAGTATTCATGGGAGAAAGTCAACAAACTTTCTAAAATTGGGAGTGGTAAGTTTTACCTAATCTTTCAGGTTCCTACACCAAGGAGCCAAGTGATATGTGATGTAACAACCACTGTTGATTTGTTTTATTTTGTCTTTAGACCCTCTATCACTTTGAATGTTCTTGCTCTGATACTGGTATGCTGCTACTGTTCTTTTTTTGTTTGTTTGTTTATTTCTCATTTACTACTCTTTTTAAAATAAATAAATACATAAATAATAAAATTGGGAGTGGTGGCACACATCTGTAATTCCAGCCCTTGTGGGGCTGAGGCAGAAGGATCACTGAAAGTTCAAGGCCAGCTGGCACTACAAAGTGCGTTGAAGGTCAGCCTGAACTGCATAGTGAAACCCTGTCTCAAAAAATTAATTCATTAATTAAATTAAAAACTTCCTAAAATGAGGAAATTTCAAGAAACAGAAAAATAAGTATATTGCTTTAAAAAACAGAAATGTACACTGGGCATAACGGCACACACCTGTAATCCCAGCACTCAGGAGACTGAAGCAGGAGGATTGTTACGAGTTCGAGGTCAGCTTGGGCTACAAAGTGAGCTCAACGCCAGCCTGAACTGCATAGCGAGATCCTGTCTCAAAAAGACAAAAAAAAATTTTAAAAAAATAAAAATAAAAATAAAAGAAGTGGATTCCACAAGAAAAGTTAGATAAAAAATAAGTTAAAAGAAACAGTAAAAAAAAAGTATTTTGCTTTTAAAAACAGAAATGTACTCCCCTAAAAAAGAAACACTTAATTGCTATAGAATGTTAGGTGTGCAGAGGGGACTGCAATAGACACTGTAAAATATATACACACAGACTACTTTCATAAATAGATTAAAAAGCAAAGGCAGAAAATAAATAGTCCAGAGCGTTAACTGTATTAACAAAGATTTTCTTCTGGGGTTAATTTCTCTTTACCCATTCTTTCCATTATTCCTTTCTTGGGGCTGGGGATTTAGCTCAGCGGCACAGCGCCAGCCTGGCAGGGGAAGGTTGTGAGTTCCATTCCCGGTACCGGGGAAAGAAAAAAAAAACCCACAAAAACAAAACATTCTTACTTTCTTTATGAAAGTCATGTCTTAAAAGTGAAAGGATGCAAAAGGCAAGAAAGCCCATCTTTCATCTATGTGCTTTATATTTCATTGTTTTTTGTTTCTTCTCACTTAACCCTCACAACAGCACCCTGAAGCAGATAATGTGGAGATACTGTACTCCTGTATCTTATATGTGAAGAAAGTAAGTGGTAAGGAAGCACCCAAGGTCATATAACTACTGGTAACTTTTATTTCTTAATACTACAAGAAATACTGACAATTTAAAAAGAAAATATTGATGAGTAAAATGAAAATAAAGAACAATATTAGAGGTACATGGAGACTGAGAATCTGCACTAAAAGACAGTGCAGGAGGGGCTGGGGATGTAACTCAGCAGCGTAAGTGGCTGCCTGGCAAGCGCAAGGTTGTGAGTTTAATCCCCGGTACCTCAAAAAAAATAAAAACTAAAAGGCAGTGCAGGAAATATATACAAAGTTAGTAAACAGAGAACATCAAGGCTCCTTATTCTAAACCTGTAACAGTATCCTGTCTGTGCATTATTCATAATAGATATAATTTATGTACATAATTAACTGTCAGTGTATAAAGAGTTCCCATGAGGGGTACAGAGCACATCACTTAAACAGGAAAGTTGAATTCCTCTGTTGATCTCTTCAAATAAGGAAAAAGGAAAGCTGGTCCACTTTTGGCAAACTGTGCAGTGGAGACAGTCAGCCTAGCATGTGAGTGATTTGTATGAATTGAAAATGGACTTTAAAAAATAATAATCTCATAAAATTTTTTTTTTCTTGACCAATTTTACACGCTTGAATTTGGTAATTAGAATGACTGGTCTGAAAACAATATGCAGTATAAGAACCATTGTTGAACTCCTACCATTTTTTATGGTGAAGCTCTGCGTCATTTACAATGCTTTTTTTTTTTTAAATTATTTTTATTTATTTATTTATTTATTTTTACTTGTTACTGTCTTTGCTTATTTGATCAATCTTACATTCTTATGTCTAATGGACTGAGCAACCTCGTTGAAGATAACGGCATGTAACACAGCAACCATTGTGAATGTCTATCATTTTGCCTTGAGGTCATGTATCATTCTTGATGTTTTTGTGTTGTTTTGATTTTGTCTTTATTGTTGTTTTGTCAGTTTTTTTAATTTTTAAAATAAAAAAATAATAAGCTCAGAATCTTAAGTTTTTCAACTTAAGACTGGTTTTTTTATTATCTGATTTTCATTATTACAAATTAGCCAATACAAATACAGATTTTCATTATTACAAATTAGCCAATACATTATTACAAATTAGCCAATATGAAATTTAATTAAATTATACACAAAATATTTTAGGAGACTTGTTCACCTTCTTGTCCAGAGAAATCTATTCTTTTAAAGCCAAGATGAAATGCTATGTCGTAGGAGTGATTTTCTCTAAACTTGGAGACAAATGAACTACCACTTCTCTACACCTTAGTATTGCTGCAATAATGGTTACCACAATGTAACATAAGTAATTATTTATAGGTCTGTCTATCCTGCTGGATAATGAAGTTTTAAGTGCAAAGAGCTATAGGTTATTAGGTACTAAATAAAACATCTGGCTACAAAATAAGGTCTCATAAACATGGAAAGCTCTCTAGAGAGGATAATTCACAAGTCTAAATGAAAAGAAACATGCTGAAAAGGTAGAGTCCATTAAAATTTATGGTAGATCTTCCATTTCATTCTTTTCACACCATACAATACCCAGGGTGTAATGCATAACTGAAATGCTATTTCTCCCATTAGGTTTCTACTGATTTTCCAAATTACAAATAACCTATTACTTGCTCTGCATTTCAAAGCATTTTTTACCTCTATCAAAGCCTCTACCTACTCTCATCCATTTAAAAAAACTTTTTTAAAGAGATCATTTCCCCCTCTTGTTTACCTTTAAATACATAAATGGCTACCACTGGCCTAGCACATAGTATGTAGTCAGAAAATGTGTGGTAATTAAAACTTTATTAGAATTGAAAATACTCAAAAGATTACAGTCAGTTTATACCATTTCTACGCCTTAATTTGGACTTGGATGAGGGGGTACAGTGATCTGTATGAGCGGTGCAGTGTCTTGGATGAGGGGTACAGTGATCTTAGGAGCCTTTTGTCTTTCGAATGAGTCCTTCTATTGTATCCCACTCTTCCTTGGTGACCTGACACAAGAAGAAAATGTCAATTTAATGAAGTTCTTACATGGTTTTAAAGCTCAGCATCCTAACTGCTAATATTATATTAGATACAGAAAAAGGCATTACCTTTCTTAAACTGTTGAATTCACCTGAAATAAATGCTTCCTCTCCACCATCAAATCTAATGACCTGAAACAAAATATTAAAAATGCTGAAACTAACTTCATTTAAAAGTTTCTGAATTATCCATTTTACATTCTAGCTGGATCAAATGCTTGAGACTTCCAATCAATGCCCAGGTGTTAAATGATGACACTGTGATTAAACATAAATTGTTTCATTCTATTTAGGATCTTCTTTCCAACACCTCTACAATTTCAAAATTCTACTCAATTTTAAAGGTCATCTTAAAGCCATGTCTACCAGGGTAACTTACATTTAATAAAATTAATCTATCAAGAAATAAACTTCATAGGCTGAAAAATATATGTATAAAATATTTCTATGTTACTTTTATAGCCAAATACATATTCTAAGTTATATTTACATTTACCCTTGTCAGGATTGGTTCCAAAGTAGGTCTCCTCCCCAATCCCTCCACAAAGCCAAGAGACAAAACAATACTTACTGCACCACTAATCCAGGAAGCATAATCACTACAAAGGAAAATAGCGAGATTTGCAAGCTCTTCCGCAGTCCCCAGCCGGCCACAAGGAATTCTGTCAATCATATCTTTCTCAAATGTTCCAGTTGGGTCCAGGCGGCTGAAGGCACCCTTAGAAATTAAGAAAACAATTAGGGTGTGTGTATCTGTGTGTGTGTGTGTGTGTGTGTTTAAATGCAACCCTCTTCCTACTTCAGAAACAAATCTACATAAAATGGGATGTTACTATATGCTACCCTGACTATACTTTAGCCCTGTAAGTAATATAATTTTACAAAATCCTTTCACACTCACGTTGGGCTCAAACAGGTCATTTTTACTTAAATTTGACCTTCAAAAAAGATCCATGGAAAATGTAATGTTTTACCTTCATTTCTTCTTTGGAAAATTAGGACATCTACCTTAGCCAGCTCACAATGTTGTTGTAAGCACCAAATGGGAAAATGTGTACAAAAATATACTGAAATATACACAAGCTTAGTGTGGTAGAGATAGTGGTAGCATTGTTATTTCACAGGGAAGTGAACACAGGAAAGTGACCCAAATAGGAAATATTTAAGAGGAAGTCCCTTTCCTTCTCTTTGGGCCAGAACGCCCATCTTTCATTTGTGAATATTTCAGTGTTTTTTTCTTGTGTTTCTTCTCACTTAATCTCCATAACATACCTGGAAGCAGAGAGTACATAGATACTCTCCTCCTGTACTTTATAGATTAATAAATTAAGTAATGAAGCATACAAAATAGTAAGAAAGCAATACTAAATTCAAGTAGAACTTATAGAGATAAAAATCAAAACTAAATGAGACAAAATTTCTGCTTATGTTAATGATATGCAGGAGAAGACCAAAAAGAGGTACAGATGTGAGCTGATTAAGAAAAATGACTGAATCCTTCTGTACTAGAGCCTTGAAGTCTAGGTAATCTTTTTCTCGGATAATACAGGTATGGGACACAGCAAACACTCGAGGCTTCTGGAGAGACTTCCAATTGTCCTGACCAGGTATAAGGCGACCAGGACAAAGGGTAGCTTTGGTCCCAATCCTGCTTCTATCTTGTTTGCTCAGGGTTTCTATACTTATTCTCCTTTAATCTCATTAAAACTACATGCCTATTATTTGTGTACAACTCTTATTTCGACTGCTAGACTACACATTCCTTGATAGCAAACATTTTGTTGCAAATGTTTTTGCATCTTTCTCAGTACTATTGAACACTGTAGGCACTCAATACATATACAAAGGGTGAGTGACTATTCCTAGATACTGAGGTTTGAGAAAGATGCTTCTGTGACTTCTTTCCTGATTATGCTTAGGAGTGGGCCACCCTGAGTTGTGAGTTTTAATATATACTTTTGAAGTATTCTTCCACTAATGTGTTAGACTTTTTATTATTCAAATGTTGGAAAAATAAGATATTCAATCAGTAAACTCAGGTGTTTTTTATTTTCATTTCCCACCCATTAAACTGCTGAATAAAACTAATATGGTGATTTCCATGTTAATACTTAATACCGCAGGGCTACCTACCATGAAAATGTTTTGTAATGCTATTCTCCAATGCACTGATACATTTTGACTATATTTTCAAACCTACATCTCAGCTGGAACTATAAATTCTAAGTTTACTTGCAAATAAAAAGAAGACCGAGACCGGCGTTATTTGGGGTTCACGGTAGAGAACAGAGAACCTGTGGACACTGTGTGCAACATCTGTAATGTCAGTGATAATTATAAGTTGCAGTGGATATGTGCAAGGATTATTATGATAGGGGAAATGCATGCCTTTCGAAGGATGTTTAATCAGACAGATGTAGGAGTTAGATGACATGCATAATTGAACATGAAAAGGCATAGACATGAGTCAAAGAAAATGCTACCGATAGCAAGGCCACACCTCATGACAGATTTCTAGAGCACCTCTTAAACTGAAAATATAGTTGCACTTCCATGATTTGAGAAAAAAGGATTTCAGTCAAAGTATTAAGGATCTTAAAATCTGAAAATTAAGAAATATAGGACAATAACACATTTACAGTAACAGAAGCAAAATTGCCAAAATTGAGGACATAAAAGATCCTAAAAGATTAAGCCACTGAAACAGGTCTTACCACAAAGTTACACAGCTGCTACAACCTTATGGGAAAAATCTCTTCCCTACAAGCAGAGCTTTAAACCCGTCCATCACACACAATTAGAACGCATCAGTCACCATTTCACTCTTTCATCACTCATAACATTATAATAAGCCAACTAAAACTTACTTTGGTTTTTATAGGCCCCGGTTGAATGACATTGAATCTCATTCCATATTTACCCCATTCTGCTGCAAGAGACCTAAACATTAAAATAGACAAAAAAGTTCTAAAATGGTATGCTCTATGTTAAAAACACAAATAACCAAGATTCACTCCATGCCTAAGGCATGCCAGAGTTTAGAGTTAAAAGTTATACACTATTATAGTTCCTTAAAGTACAGATACAGTAACTGAAATACAGCAAGGCTAATTCGTCTTTCTCTGTATCTCTTAGAGCTAAACTGTCAACCTCAAGTGTCCAGCTCCAGAGTTTGAGTCTTTACCACACTGCGCTATGCCCTACCACTCAGGTTTTAGTGTCCTTGGCCACAATGCTACCTGTCTATCATTTACACTTTACAATAAGAAATCCAATATCAATATAGATTTTTTAACTAGGTCTTCATTACTCACAGAAAAATAAGAGAACTTCATGTCTTTCCTTCACGTTTTATGGAGTTCAATTTCACATTTGCAAAGTTCATTATAATTTTACTTTTACCCTGTGCATTGAATTACAATGTCTGCAGCATCACAAGTACTTTAATTGAATAAAAGATGGATTATAAAGACTTAAAATATTAACCACATCCATGTTTAACTAGGCTTTCACGTAGTTACTGAACTGAGCTTCAAAGGAAATAGGAATCTAACAAAAACCTTATTAAATATCTGGGAGCAAAATATAACACTAGTAGCAAACATGTAACCTTGAGATAATCTGTTTTTAAAATATACTTATCGCATAAGTCTAACTTCTTTTTAATCTAGATTTATTTTATGAATTTATGCTGATATACATATATATCTAGCTTCAAAAAATGATTCAAGGTAGCTTTTAAAAAGAGCACAAACATGCAAATGAGAAAAATGAGACAGGAAGAGAAGTAAAGGAGGTCAGAGGAAAAAGTACAAGGAAATATAAAAGGGCTGGGAATGAAGTTCCTATTGAAGTCCATTATGATGACGGCTGGGGATTTAGCTCAGTGGCACAGCGCCTGCTTGGCAAGCGCAAGGTCATGAGTTCAATTCCTGGTACTGGAAGGAAAAACAAAACAACAACAAAAAAAATTACGATGTTTTATATAACTGCAAATGGCAGACCACAAATTTTCATGACCCTGTGCAAAAATGGTGCACCTATCTTTCATATGAGAATTCCAAAGTATAAATGAAGAGCAAAATAAAGAATAGATAAAAGGAAACTGGGAGATAGATCCACTACACCTGGGCAGGGGACCAAGAAACGGAGGGAGGAGGTAAGGGACAGAGGAGAAGGGGACATAAAAAGAGAATTAAGATGTGCCAGGTACATGGGCCAGATACCCACAATGAAAGTAGTCATTATGTGTCATAAACATGTATTAATAAATAAATTAAAATTAAAAAGAAAAATAATCAATTACATAGTTTACAGTGCCCAGAAGAAGAAAGCAAGCTAAAACTGCTCAGGCAAAATACAAATGTTTCTACTACAAAAAGAATCAGAAAAATACTTCTTCCTAGAAGACTGACACAGGAAAATTGTATAACTGTACATTATAATAATGCCTTTAAGGCACTGTTTCCTCCTAATAGATAAAATGGGAGTGAGATATCCATTCACACAGTCTGACAGCAGCACTCCAAAGGCCAATTCAGTTCTGTGGAAGAGGGGCCATGTGAGCCAGTACAGACTGTGAATCTAACTGAATTCACGGGTGAGTTTTGTAAAAATGGGTAGGCTTCCTCTCTTCTAGGCACTTCATACATAAAAACTGCTTCTGTCAGCTGAGCTGATGGTGAAGCTTTTTTTCATGATTCCACTTACCGCAAGGATGTACTTACAAGGAACCTACTCCAAACTGCTGGAGAAGTAGTAACTCTGTGTTTTAACAGAATTACTCAGCCAAGCAGAGTTTATTTCATCCTGTGAAAAACTGAACAACCTATTGTGGAAATCTGCCCAGAAGAAAAACTATCCTACTTCTGCTCAGAGATGTGCCAGGTAATTTATTTTTTCTCCTGCTAGCACTATCTACCAGTTGTCATTAGGCTAGTTTGTACACTGAAAAACTGCTGTAATATAAGGAATCCATCTCATATAGTTCACTCCACGTGTTCATATGCTAACCACAATATACAAATATGTGTCAGGCATTATTATCGTTATCAAACTCAGGGTAAGCACAAGTTTACTATGTGCTGACACTGAGCCAACATTCTGTAAGTACTGCTTAGCCTCTAGCAGGGAAATCAATATCTTCTTTCGAGGAAGCAGTCTCTCCTTTCCTAAGAGAGGTTAGTTTGGGAGTATAAGGAAAATGCTACTAACTTAGCAATTGCATAAAGTGTACCATGGCTAGTTGAAGAAAGAGCCTCCTAAGCAGCCTGGAAGTGAGGGAGAAGGTTTCCATAAAAAGGTGGTAGTTGGGCTGACACTTGAAGAAAGATTAGGTATTTGCTATAGGAAGCAGGGGTAAGAAGAGGATTGGTGTTCACAGAGAGAAGGATGGAAAAAGACAGCCCATGTACAGGGTTCAGTATGAGTAAAAGACAAAGCACAAACAACATCCAGAATTTGGGACTCCATAGGGCGTATATAGTATGGCTATGTCCTATTATGTATGAAAAGAGAGTCAGTAAGAGCAGGGGCTGTAAAGAAAGACACAGGCATGTTAAGTGCAATATGCTATGCAGGGACATTAAGAGAATCAGAGTCCTTCAAGGATATGATACTGAAGCTTCTAATAAGATGCAAAGGCAGCAGCAAAATAAATATTGATATTGTACAAACGCCGCCCAAAAAGGCATGTGCTAATCTGTTATTTCTAATAATTTCTGATATTTAAAAATAGTAATGTTCTGACTAACACTCAACTTTGAATAAAGTTGTTAGGTTTAAATATGTCCTCACAGGCCTTCTGTTAGACACTTAACCCACAATGCAAGAGTTTGGACAGCAGAACCTAACAATAGGTGATTAAGTCATGAGGACTCTGCCCTCTGAATCCATTAATGTTACCTCAAAATGTTACAACAAGAGTGGACTTATTACAAACTGAATTCAGCCCCTTTTTGCTCTTTTCCACACTTTCTCTGACTGTACACCATGGGATGATTTAATAAAAAGGCCCTTGTCAGATGCAGGCACCATGATATTGAACACTCTAGCCTCTGGAATATTGAATAAATAAATTTCTGTTGTTTCTAAAATACCTAGTTCATTGAGAATAGTCAATGATTATTCAATTGGTCACTCATGTATAGCTCTATTTATTTTCTTTAGAAACCACTTTGAAGATACCAAAGTATAGTACAACAACCATTGATAATAACCCACCACTTTTGTCTGTAACTCACTATGATCTGTCTATTTGTTTTCCTGAGAAACTATCTTGTAGATGACAAAATGTAAAACAACAACCATTGATAATTTCCTACCATTTTGTCTGTAATTCGGTAAGCCCCCCTATTACTATGTTATCCTTCTTTTACTCTTTAAAATAAAAATAATAATAATAATAATAAAAGACAAAATACCTAGTTTCAGGCTTTCTGTTATAGCAGCACAAAATGGACTAAGACAGAAAACAGTACTTTCTATCTCAAACAAGTATGTACTACTGATCTAAACATTAAAAGTACTTTGGTACTCCTGGAAGACAAGAGCAAAACTGCAGATCAACAAACACTGAGCACAAGCTATGTACCGGATTCTGCTGGGTAATAAGAACTCACACCCCAGTGGGGAAGCCAGATAGCTGTAGTGGCAAATCTAAAAGTCTATCACACCCTTCTCTCTGTGCCCTGCCACCCTGATATTCTACCTGCATCTTGCAATCCATTTTTTAGTGTGTTTTTCATTTCATGAGATTGGATTAAGCAGAATTTTAAGGAAAAGATGATAAGGAATGGTTAATTTTACGTAGATAATGAGAGAAAACATGCAGAACATGAACAGTTGATGCGTCTTGAAATTAAGCAACATAATGCTTGTATCTGGTAGTCTGAACAACTGATTTGAGGACAACAGTATGCAATAGAACAACCACTGGTGAATTCCTACCATCTTGTCTGGTGAGGCTCTGTATTGTCTCTAATGTTGTATTTAATAATTATTTTTTTATTCTCTTTAATAGTTCAAACAATCTTCCATTCTTACATCTGGTAATCTGAGCAACGTAGCTGAAGATAACAATGTATGTAACAACCACTGTTAATTCCTATCATTTTTTTTGAAACTCTGTATCATTTTTAAGGTTCTTGCTTTGTTTTGTTTATGTCTGTGATGTTGGTATGTTGGTATTCTTCTTTAAAAAAAAGGAATTAAGCAACATATCACAGCAAAAATTTAAAACAAGCTAACCCAGATACAAACATATGGGACACTTAAGGGAACAAGAAATAGTTAAAGCAGGTAGAGCACGGGAATATGGATGGGACAATATAAAATCAGGTGAGAACAAGAACTGCTCTATTTCTAGCCAGGTGTGGTGTCACATGCCTGTAATTCTAGCACTTGGGAGGCACAGGTTCACTGTGAGTTCACCGTATAGCCTGGGCTACTTAGTGAACTCAAGGCCAGCCTGAATTACACAGCAGACCCTGCCTCAAAAAAAAATCACTATTCTATTTCCATATCTACCATATTCCTGGTACCTACCACAATGGCAGGCACACTCTAGGTATGTAATAGTTATTGCATAAATTAATTAATAAACAAAAGCTTGAACAAGTCTATTTAGAATGTCACGCGGTTTGGGCTTTATTCCAAACAATAACAGAAAATGAGTTAATGCTTTTAGCCGAAGAATAACATAAGCAGACATGTATTTTTAGAAAGATAATTCTGGTGGAAATATAAATTTAAAATATGAAAGGGAAAGAGACTGATAGCAAAGAAATATACTGCAGGATTATTACAATAGCCCAATATACAACAATGACAGTGCCCCATTACAACAAACACAATGACAAGGCCAATGGGGAAAAAATTCAAAAAGCAACCATTCTCTGCTGAGCAAAGGACTAGACTAGGCAAATGCTCAAGGTCTGTGTTAGTCCTATTAATCTGAGGCAGTAGGTACAATGAAGGGATGAAAATGTGTTTACAAGGTTAGGGATGGCACTACTAAGGACATACAGAAGGACAAAAAGTCCTGTGATGTCTGAAGACACTAGCCACATGTGACTCTTTAAAAATTCTAAATTCAGTTTCTCAGTCACAGTGGCTGCATTTCAAGGGTTCAGTCCCTATGTGCGGCTATTAGATGTTGCAGATTTATAGGACTTTTACATCACTGTATAAATTCTATTGGAAAGTGCTGCTTTAGGCAAATAGTACTCATCTAGGAAACACAATGTTTTTCTTGGTGAATCCAAATTAGTCTTTTTTTGCTTTTTTTTTTTTTACTTTTCTCTAGACAGAAACCAGAAAGCAGGAATTTGTTTACATGAGCTCTCAAAGTACTTTATTTATCTTCAGCAACAGGAAGAAGAACATAGAAGGCTCACTTGTTCATGGCTTCCACACCGGCTTTGGAAGAAGCACTTGGTACAACAAAACCAGATCCTGTCTCAGCATAGATTGTTGTAATGGCAAGAAATGCTGCCCCTGAAATTTTGAAGGACTTGGGTTACTAATAATACAGCTATATCAATGTACATCAGGAAAACATGATTTACAAAAATAAGGTCTGATTCAAGAGGACATAACAAAAGCTGAAGCATTGAAAAAGCTTTACCAACCCTATATTAACGAGTCATCTAAGAATATTGTTTTGCCTTGCTACTAATCTTGCTGTCACTAGGTAGCCCAGTCTGCACTTACATGGAATTTTCTATATCCATTGAGTCAATATTGAGGCACAAGTCTTGCAGACATGTCCCTGTAACACCATGCATAACCAGCTGGATAGGATTCCTATTAACTAAGTACCAATTTAATAGTAATACATCAGAACTAAATATAATTCTGAAAGACTAGCCATGACAGACTCGCCCTCCTGCTGTATCTGTTTCTCAAGACAAATGATACGACTATTTTCAGATACTGTACAGCAGGCAGAAAAGGACAGGGATCTTTTGGAGAAAGAAAATGAATGACATGAGCCCTTACACCACTTTTTTTTTCTTTCTGTCTAAACATACAACATAGACGGTAGCATAACAGGAATCCAAGCAGAGAGCTGCACCGAGTTAAGCACACAGAGATTAGAATTTGTGGAGGCCGAAGAAACTGAGCTTTCTGAGTAAGAGTCAGCCCAAGGAGAAAAGTACGCTAGGACAAGCTCCATGGATCTTCGCAGGGTCTCCCTGAGTCTGGACAACTGCCAAGTCATCTATGCTAGGATGAAAAGCAGTTTCTACAGAGCTACAAGATAAACAACCCAAAGGCTTCACATACACAAGAATTCTAAGTAACTTCACTGAAATACAGGGCTTTCTACAGAAAGCTCAGAAAAGGCATGCCTTAGCAGAAGAGATAAATCAGCACAATATTAGGCTCTGTGTTCACCCAAATAAATCTTTTTTTTTTTTTTTTTTGGTTTTTCTCCGGTACCGGGAACTGAACTCATGACCTTGCGCTTGCCAGGCAGGCGCTTTTGCCGCTGAGCTAAATCCCCAGCCCCAACCCAAATAAATCTTAAAAATGAGACTTAAAATGATTTAAGTAATGAATAAATCAAAACTCAACACATCTCAAAGGAAAATTTAAAACTCATGAACATACAATAACAACATTCACTTTCTGCATGTAATCAAAAATTACAATACATAAAGAGACTTAGAAATAGAACCAGGAGAAAAATAACTATAAAGCATCTCAGAAATGCCAGAAAGATAAAATTATCAGATGAAGGCCCTTAGAATGTTATTACTGTGAAGAGAGTTCAAAGAAAAGATAAATGCAAGAAAATATAAAATTACACACAGAATTTCTAAAGCAGAAATGTGTGTTACCTGAAATTTTAAAAAGTAAATGAGTAAGCTCAAGTGCAGAAGAAAAGATCTATAAACTTGAAGACAGCAATACAAACTATCTAAAGTGAAGGAGAGAGGGGAAAGAGGCTGGGAGAACAGTGCTGGAGGGGACAGCTCAGTGGCACAGCACCTGCCTGGCAAGTGCAAGGTCTTGAGTTCGATTTTTTTCCTTTGGTCTTTTCGAGACAGGATCTTGCTATGCAGTTCAGGCTGACCTTGAGTTCACTTTGTAGCCCAGGCTGGTCTCGAACTTGCAACCATCCTCCTGCCTCAGCCTCCTGAGTACTGGGATTCCAGGCATATGCCACCACACCTGACTGAGTTCAATTTCTAGTACCAAAAAAATCTTAGAAGTTGGGAGGACTTATGGAATAATAGCATATATATAAAACTATATATATATAGCTATAGATATAGCTACATATATAGTTATATATGTATATATTGTTATATGTAGTTATACATATCATATATATAACTATGCAGTTAAATATAGTTACATATATATAGCATATATATATATAGAGAGAGAGAGAGAGACAGAGAGAGAAACAGAGAGAGAGAGAGAGTCCTATAAGAAAAAAGTACTTGAGAAACAAAGACTGAAAAAAAACCTTCAAATCTGGTAAAAGCAATATATGATTTTAGAGAGCTAAACAAATCCCAAGTAGGATAATGGTGGTTGGGGGCACTATGGCATATTTTAATCAATCTCTTCAAACTAGTGTTAAAGAAATAATCTTAATAGCAACAAGGAGTAGTAGGAGGAAACAACATAAATAAAGGAACACAGATAAAAATTTTCACTGATTTGGCACCAGAAACAGTGTAAGCTAGAAGACAATGGAATGATAGCTTTAAAATGCTGAAATTAAAAACACTATTAACTGTAAATTACATATCCAGCAAAAATATCCTTCAAAAATGAGGATGACAGGGAGGGGAAGAGGAAGTAAAAATAATTAAGATGTGATATGTATATGTGCCAATTCCTCAAGACGAATGTAAATACTGTGTATCTCAAACATATATTAATAAAACAAAAGAGTTTAGAAAAAATGAGGTTGCTACTTACTGGTATTCAGATGCTGACAGAAATCACTGCCACTAGACTTGCCCTACAAAAAAATTTAAAGATAGAACTTTAGGCTAAATAAAAAGGATACTAGATAGAAACTCTGAATATGTGAAGGAATGATCAGTATCAGAAATATTAAATATGTAAGTAAATGGAAAAAAACATTGTTTTGTTTACATTTCTGTTTTAAAAATCTCTGCATAAGTATACTAAAAAAATGACACTGTGTCTGTAGAAATCAAGGGTGATTTCTAATTAAGATTTTCAAATTAAATGACTGAATCAGAGATTAGAAGTGTGATCTTTAGCTCTTGAGAAATCAGTGATTTTCTATTTCTTATTCAAACATAAAACCAGACAAGAAAATAAACTTAGTATTTGCTGAAGAATCAAAATACATTTATATATGTTTTCCAAAGTATAGTTTAAGAAATTTAAAGATTACAAGAAATACATTTTGAAGAAAATCCAGATAAGTTTTCTTCTCTCTACATATTTAGTTTCTCTTTCCCTCAACATTTTTCAGAATAGAAACAAAACTCAGTACTCCCTGGAGGACACGGGGGTGGGAGAGGGGGCAGGAGTGCCATTTTGAGAATATGAGGAATAAGAATGGTTACCTTCGTCATTCTGGTATCACCTTTTATGTTTCAAACTCAGCCTTTCAGATCTCTGAAAACTACTTTGTTTCCAAAATCTTATTCTGAAAGAGGAGGGATGTACAAAATCTCTCAAAATGGATCAGAGACCAAAATCTTATTCTGTGGGCCCCATTATAGCAGGAAGTGCTAGCTGTATCATTCTGACAGCAAAAGTATAAAAACTATTCCAAAAGTGACAATTACTTATACAAAGCCAGTGCTCCAATAGAAAGTCCACTACCTTCCAAGTAAAATTAAACTAGTATGTTTTTCCAAACATAAGACAGGAGTTAGGCCGTTATAACGTGAGAGGCTGGAAATGAAAGTTACTATACTCTTCTCTTTCCTCCCTGTTCTATTACTCAGCCTAGAAAATATGAACAGCCTACTGCTCAGGACAGAACACTGCACTTTTTATTCTCCCCATATGGAAACAGGTGGTAAAAATTTAAAATGTTACTATTCTAATAACAATGAATGCTGCACAGTGCAATAATTAGCAGCTGGACTTCAAAAAACAATCATGCTAAAAATTCAAACTAAAGAACGACCAGATTCCGAGGTTTAGTCACAGATGTAGTTTTCTTTTGGTGGAAACTCAATTATTTCAATTAAAATAATTGCCCACGGGAGAGTCTGGTAAATGGCAAGCTTCTAACAGTCCAGTATAAACAACAAAAATGAATGCACGCTATTTAGTGAGGTCAAGAAAATAGAGAAAGGGAGCAATGAATGAAATAAATATTAGACTACAAAAACCAATACAGAGACCAATGGAACAAACTAGAGAGCCCACAAATAAATCCAAATATTTACAGTCCACTGATTTGTGCCAAGAGCATACAATGGAGAAAGGATAGTCTCTCCAACAAATTCTGCTGGGAAAACTGGATATCAACATATAGAAGAAGGGGGCTGGGGATTTAGCTCAGCGGCAAAAGCGCCTGCCTGGCAAGCGCAAGGTCGTGAGTTCGGTTCCCGGTACCGGAGAAAAACAAAAAAAAAAAAAAAAAAAAAAAACATATAGAAGAAGGAAATTAGAGCTATGTCTCAGCATGTACTAAATCACTCAAAGAGGATCAGAGACCTAGATGGAAGATCAAAAACTATAGAACAACAAGAAGAAAACATTTTTTAAAAACTTTAAGAAATGTATATGAGCAAAGATTTTTTAGATAAGAATCCAAACACATAAGCAACAAAAGCAAAAACATATAATCCAGTTTAAAAATGGGAAAATGATCTGAATAGACATTTCTAAAAGCAGGATATAAAAATAGCCAACAAGTACATGGAAAAAAAAATGCTTACTATTCTTAATTATGAGGGAAACACAAATCAGAACCACAGTGTGATATCATCTCACCAATCAGAATGGCTATTTTGAAAAAGATGAAAATTTACAAATGCTGGCAAGGATGTAGAGAAAGGGAAACTCTTAAAACACTCCTAGCAGGAATGTAAATTAGTACAGCCACTATGGAGCAGTATGCAGTTCCCTCAAAAAACTAAAAATAGAACTACACACTATCCAACAATTCTAAACTTGTTATACATCCAAAGACATTAAATTAGTATATCAAAGAGCTGCTCTCTCACATTCACTGCAGCACTATTCACAATGTAAGAAAGAAACCAATATAAAAAAGCAATCAGTGTTTCCACCCACAGATAAAAGGATATATATGTTATTCAGCCATAAAATGAGTGGAAAAGCCTATCATTTATAGCAACATGGATGCACCTGGAGGACACTGGACTAAATTAAATAAGCCAAGAACAGAAGAGAAATACCATGGGTTTCTCTCATATATACAAGCTAAACAACTTGATCTTACAGAAGAAAGAAGTAAAATGGTGCTCATTAGAAGCTAGGAAGACTAAGGAAGAGCAGAGGGTAGTGAGAGGCAG